GCAGCAGCAGCAGCAGCAGCAGCAGCAGCAGCAGCAGCAGCAGCAGCAGCAGCAGCAGCAACAGCAACACAGTTCCTTCTCCGCCGCGCACCGCCAGAAGTAACAAAACCCGCTAAGGCTCTGCATGCTTCTGGGGCCCCACAGGGGCCCCTCTGCGAGTCCACGCCATTAGGGGGGCCCCCCTCCCTCGACAGGGTACAACCTGGCTGGGGGGCCCCCTCGGGGGCCCCCGTGGGGGCCCCCCTGGGGGCCCCCGTGGGGGCCCCCCTGGGGGCCCCCCTGGGGGCCCCTGTTGAGGGTTTTGTTCCCTTCTGCTCTGTTTGCTGCTGACGCCGGAGGCGGCCTCGGCGCAGCAACGGGTGACGCGGCTCCTCTAGCTGCAGTGCTAGCTTCCTGCTGCTGCTGCTGCTGCTGCTGCTGCTGCTGCTGCTGCTGCTGTTGGGTTGCCGCAGGGGGGCAAAGGCAGGCCTCAGGTGTGGGGCAGAGGCGGAGCAGCCAACTGGCTTCTTTGACGGCGTGGCTGGATACGCTGCAGTGCATTTCAAAACCCTAAACTCTAAACCCTAAACCCTAAACCCTACACCCTAAACCCTAAACCCTTAACCCTCAATCCCTTGGGGGCCAAACTGCAACAGAGCCACATCGATGCAGCAACCACGCGCTTCGGGCTGGGGCCTGAGAAGCAAAGCTTTGTGCACTCTTAGGGTTTAGGGTTTAGGGTTTAGGGTTTAGGGTTTAGGGTTTACCCTGGAAAAAGAGCCGGAAGTCGTTAGCAGCAAAACTGTAAATGTGGCAAAGCTCTAAGGGCAGCCCTCGCTCGTGGGCCTCGAGCTGCACAGGCAGCAGCGCGTGCCGCTCGCCTAGGTATTCCGCAGCAGCAGCAACAGCAGCAGCAGCAGCAGCCCTGCTGCTGCTGCTGCTGCTGCTGCTGCAAGGGGCTGCCTGGGCGCCGTGCAGCAGCTGCTGCAGCGCCCACAGGAAGACCAGCGGCAGCTCGTCGGCGGGCCCCACACTTCGTTCCCTCCGAATTGCTAGCAAGAAAGCCTGCAGCTGCTGCTGCTGCTGCTGCTGCTGCTGCTGCTGCTGCTGCACTCCAGCAGCTGCTTGCGCCGGTCCCGGTAGCCTATGGGACACACCCCGTACCGACACAGCAGCACGAACAGACGAGCAGCAGCAGCACCTGCTGGCAGCAGCAAATCGAAGCCGCTGCTGCTGCGGCTGCTGCTGCCTCTGAAGCAGCTCCTGTGGGGCCCCACAAGCCCAGAGGGCCCCTGCGCTCCGAAGCCGCTGTAAGATATCAGCAGCGCGGGGAGGCTCACCCCCTTTGCTGCTGCTGCTGCTGTTGCTGCTGCTGCTGGTGCTGCTGCTTCTGCTGCTGCTGCGCCGGCAGGTGACGCAGGCGCCGCTGCAGCGGTGGGGCTTGCAGCTGCAGCGACCCCAGCAGCCGCTGCAGCATCCACAGCAGCAGCAGCAGCAGCAGCTGTAGCTGCAGCAGCAGCAGCAGACTTCGCTGCCTCTGGCTCTAATTCAGGGGCCGGTGCTGCGAGTGGACAGCCCAAGTCTTCTTCGTCTGCAAGTGCTGCAGCAGCAATTGAGCCGGCAGCAGCAGCAGCAGCAGCTGCTGCTGCTGCTGCTGCTGTTGCTGGTTGGCGCGCGGCCGCTGACTGGGTTCTCTTTGCTGCAGGTTGCTGCGGCTTTTGCTGCTGCTGCTGCTGCCGCTGCTGGCGCTGGAGCTGCTTCTGCACCTGTTGCTGCTGCTGCTGCTGCTTCTCGCGCTGCAGCTGCTCGCGGCGCTGCTGCAGCCGCTGCAGCAGCGCCCTGATCTCTGGCCTTCTTCTGCTGCGCGTGGCAACCTTCCAAGGCACTGCAGCAGCAGCAGCAGCAACAGCAGCAGGACAGAAGAGGCGGGAAGCTGCGGGGGGCGGGAGGGCTCTGCCGGCAGCGACGGCAGCAGCAACCGCGGCCCGGGGCCCTGCTGCTGCTGCTGCTGCTTCTGCTGCTGCTGCTGCTGCTGCGCGCTGCAGCAAACGCCGAGACCGCGGCGGAAAGGGCCCACTCAAGAGGGGGGCCCCCAACTCCAAGCTGAAGATGCAGCCCCCAGGAAGTGTGGGGCAGCAGCCGCGCAGCAGCTCGTGCTGCAGCAGGGCTTTCCACAGCAAGTAGCAGGCCTGGGTGCCTGCTGCTGCTGCTGCTGCTGCTGCTTCTGCTGCTGCTGCTTCTGCTTCCGCCGCCGCCGCTGCTGCTGCTGCTGCTTCCGCCGCGCCGGGCGCGGGGGCCCCCAGGGAGAGCGCGCCTGCTGCGGCGCTGGCGTCGGCTGCCGGTGCGCCCGCAGCAGCAGCAGCAGCAGCGTCGGCAGCAGCAGCAGCAGCAGCAGCTGCTGCTGCTGCTGCTGCTGATGGCCGCAGCACCTTCAAGGCAAGACCCAGCGCGCGCAGCGCCCGGGGGCCCCGCAGCTCAAAACGAGCTATTCCATTTATTTGCTGCAGCGAGACTCCAATGCCGCATGCGCAGCCAAGTACTGCTGCTGCTGCTGCTGCTGCTGCTGGGGCTGCTGCTGCTGCTGCTGCTGCTGGGGGCGAGCAGCAGCAGCCTGGGGGCCGCAGAGCCTCTGCTGCAGCAGCAAGGGCCGCCTTTGCTGCTGCTGCTGCTGCGGGGTGCACCACCACCCACAAGGTGCGCGCAGTCTCTCCAGCAGCAGCAGCTTTGAAGAAGAAGTCGCAGGGCGCCACCAGCAGCGGCTGCTGCTGCTGCTGCTGCTGCTGCTGCTGCTGCAGCTGCTGCAGCTGCGGCTGCTGCTGCTGCAGCAGCAGGCGGCCCTGCTGGGCGCCCGCGCGAACGGCCTTGCTGCCGAGGAGGGCGGGCTCGGCGCCGCAGCGGCGCAGCAGCAGCAGCAGCAGCAGCAAAGGACCCTGCAGCTCGAAAATGCTCATGTAAGAAGCATCATGAACTGTGGCTAGCTGGCTAGCTGCTCGCAGCAGCTTGCGCTGCATGCGCTGCGTGGGGTGTACAGACACCGCGCAGCCCCACAGCGGCAGCATGCGGAAGCGCCGCGCCAGGTACATGTGCGTCTGCAGCCAACGCACCTTGCTGCTGCTGCTGCTGCTGCTGCTGCTGCTGCTGCTGCTGCTGGGGGCGGGCGCGGTGCGCAGCCGCAGCAGCTCTGCGGGCTTTCGGCGCTGCCGCCGAGTCCGCCGGGCCGCCGGCTGCAGCAGCAGCAGCACAAACAGCAGCAGCAGCACAAGCAGCAGCAGCAGCAGCACAAGCAGCAGCAGCAGCAGCACAAGAGCAGCAGCAAGGCTTAGTTCAGAGACAAAAGAAAAGCCCTCGAGGCTCCTCCGCGGCTCCAGCACAACTCCAGCTCAACGCCAACAGCCTAGCGCTTGCGGCGTAGCCCCTAGGGTTTAGACCAGCAGCAGCAGCACAAGCAGCAGCAGCAGCAAGAGCAGCAGCAGCAGCAGCACAAGCAACAGCAGCAGCAGCACAAGAGCAGCAGCAAGGCTCAGTTCAGAGGCAAAAGAAAAGCCCTCGAGGCTCCTCCGCGGCTCCAGCACAACTCCAGCTCAACGCCAACGGCCTAGCGCTTACGGCGTAGCCCCTAGGGTTTAGGGTTTAGGGTTTAGGGTTTAGGGTTTAGGGTTTAGCGCACTTTGGGGGGGGTTTTGGCCATTTCCGCTAATATAGGGCCGCGGCGTCTGCGGGGAACTCTAAAAGGGTTATAAGACATGCAGCGGCGCCTCAAGAAGACTGGCAGCTTTTGAAAAGCGCGGCGGCAGGGGCCAGTTTTTGCTGCTGCTGCTGCTGCTGCTGCTGCTGCTGCTGCTGCTGCTGCTGCTGGTTCTGCTGCTGCTGCTGAGGAGGGGGCGGCGCCCTCGGCTGCAGCGGAGGGGGCGCTGCTGGGGTCTGCGGAGCTCGAGCGCTGCTGCTGCTGCTTCGGGCGCCGCTGCTGCTGCTGCTGCTGCTGCCGCAGCCGCCGCTGCTGCTGCTGCTGCTGCTCGCGCTGCTGCTGGTAGCGGTTCGGCAGCTGCTGCAGGTCCTGCAGCAGCGCAGCAACTTCTGCTTCGCGCGCCCGCAGCAAAGCTGGCACTGACACCACTTGCGGCAGCGGGGGCACAGGCAGCCGCGCAGCAGCTACCGGCAGCAGCCTCGCCTGCTGCTGCTGCTGCTGCTGCTGCTGCTGCTGCTGCTGGGGTGACCTGAGGCTCAAAGGGGGTAGGGACAGGTTTACGGGGTAGGGGGCTGCAGCAGCTACAGCTGCTGCTGCTGCTGCTGCTGCGCTGCTCCCGCCCGCGCTGCTGCTGCTGCTCGATCCGCCCGCAGCCACAGGGGAGGGGCCCTCACCCCCGAGGCGCTGCCGCTTCGGCAGCATCTTCAAACCCTAAACCCTAAACCCTAAACCCTAAACCCTAAACCCTAGATTTTAGGCCGTTTGCTCCATGGGGGTCTCCAGCAAGGCTCGGCGAAGGCAGGAGGATGAGGCCTCCTACAGGGGCTACCTGAAAGACTTCGAAACCCTGAAACTTAAACCCTAAACCCTAAACCCTAAACCCTAAACCCCAAAACTTGCTTTTCTGCCTTTTAAATAGCTAAAAAGGCCCTAAATTTCAGCAGCAAAAGCCCCAAGCCTGAGCGCCGCTCGTGGGGCCCCCAGCCAGTGCCTTCCCCACCTGGGGGCCCCCCTTCTTTGCTGCATGCGGGCACTTCCCTCTTTCTTTAATACTTTTAAATCAATTTAAAATCCAAAAAAGGGTAATTGAACCCGCTAGTGCTTCAGATCAACACTCACATCCAGCGAATAGCTACACCCCCCTCCTAGGGGCCCCCCGGGGGCCCCCCGGGGCCCCCAGGGGCCCCCAGGCGCCCCTGAAGGCCCCTAGGGGGCCCCTCAGAGCCCCGTGGGGCCTCTTTGAGACCCTTAAGACTATCTAAGGACATTTGGGGCTCCTCGGGGGCCCCTGGAGCCCCCAGAGGGCCCCGGGGGCCCCCCTGAAGGGTTCGAGGCCCCCACACCCAGTAGGGGGCCCCTGGGGCCCCCCAGGGCCCCTGGGGGCCCCCAGAGGGGCCCTTGTCCCGCGAATAAGGCTTTTGAGGCCCCAAAGAGAGCTGCAGTGGGCAGGGGCCCCCTTTGGCAGACTTTGGGGGCCCCAAAGCAAACAAAAAGACATAAAAAGAATCAAAAAGAAAAAAAGAAATATAATTTAAAGACTACCAGCAGCCCACAGCCCCGCAGGGGGCCCCTCGCCGCAGCCCCGGGGCCCCCCTAAAGCCCTTAGAAGACCCCCTGAGTCCTCAGGGGGCCCCCAAAGTCATTGTGGAGCTTTAAGTGTTCTGCTGCTGCTGCTGCTGCGCTGCTGGTTTGAGGCAGCTTCTGCTGCTGCCTCTGCTGCTCCTCCCGTGTTGCCTTTTAGACCGCCTAGCTACACTCTAGGGTTTAGGGTTTAGGGTTTAGGGTTTAGGGTTGCGTGTTGCTTCAGAGTGGCCCTTCCGGCCCTTCAGCAGTGAGGGCCCTGCAGAGCTGCTGCTGCTGCTGCTGCTGCTGCTGCTGCTGCTGCCTCCCGATCCGCAACGACCCCTTAAGTGTGGGCCCCGCAGCCACTAGGGACTCAGGCTCGCAGCAACCCTAAACCCTAAACCCTAAACCCTAAACCCTAGCCAGCCATGCGCCTCGCCGAGGGCCCTAAACCCTAAACCCTACCCCCGTAACGGCTTTCCTATTCAACTCTTGGCCCCGGGACTGCAGAGAACCCTGCTGGTGGCTCTAAATCCCTAAACCCTAAATTAGGGTTTAGGGTTTAGGGGGATTTCCCTACAGCACACGGCCAAGGAAGCAGCACCGCCCATTACGCCTCAAGGTCACTGCTCTCCCAGGGGCCCCAGGGGCCCCAGGGGCCCCCTGTCCTGCCCTTAGCAGCAGCAGCAGCAGCAGCAGCAGCAGCAAGCCATCATCTGCTGGTGCTGCAGCAGCAGCAAGCCGCAGCAGCTGCTGCTGCTCCCGCTGCGCCTGAAGCCGCCCAGGCCGCCTCAGAAGCTCGTGGCCCGAGGGCCCCCAGGAAGACCCTAGGGGGCCCCCAGGGGCCCCCAGGGGGCCCCCCGGGGGCCCCCCCTGCCCCTATGTGCTGCAGCAGCAGCAGCAGCGCAGCA